GTGTTGAGTCTAACCCAGGGCAACACACTCATGAAATGGTGCTGAAATTGCATGTCTCTCATGAAACAATATGTAAACATCTAAGGAATATGGGAAAATTCCATAAAGAATGTGTTTGGGTATCTCACGAACTCTCCGATAATCATTGTTTCCAACGTATTAACGTTGCTTCGTGTCTTCTGGCACGTAATGCGTGTGAACCATTTTTGGACAGAATTGTCACCGGTGATGAAATATGGGTTCTCTATGCAAATATTAAAAGCCAAAAACAATGGCTCAGTCCCAGACAAAAACCACTTCCGACCCCAAAACCTGGACTCCATCCGCAGAAAGTGATGCTTTGCATTTGGTGGGACTTCCAAGGAGTAATTCATTTCAAACTTCTGCATCCACAGTGAACTGTCAATGCAGAGATCTGTGGTCAGCAACTGGAACATTTAAATGAAGCCCTTCATCAGAAACACCCTTCACTCATCAATAGGAGAGGTGTTCTTCTCTTCACGACAATGAGCATCCACATGTGGCAGGTTTGACACAACACAAGATTATGGATTATCTCCAGATATGGCCATCAGATTACCATCTTTTTTTGTTTGCTGCAACACCATCTTAATGGGAAAATGTATGCAAATGTGAAAGATGTTAAAGAGTACATCGACATGTTTTGTGGCAGGTTTGACACAACACAAGATTATGGAGTTGGGTTGGGAAGTTCTCCCCCACCCACCACAATCTCCAGATATGGCACCATCAGATTACCATCTTTTTTTGTTTGCTGCAACACCATCTTAATGGGAAAATGTATGCAAATGTGAAAGATGTTAAAGAGTACATCGACATGTTTTGTGGCAGGGTTGACACAACACAAGATTATGGAGTTGGGTTGGGAAGTTCTCCCCCACCCACCACAATCTCCAGATATGGCACCATCAGATTACCATCTTTTTTTGTTTGCTGCAACACCATCTTAATGGGAAAATGTTTGCAAATATGGAAGATGTTAAAGAGTACATCGACATGTTTTGTGGCAGGGTTGACACAACA